AGTACTTAAATCGACTGGAAGCCTATTTTCCTTCTAATATATATCAATAACTATCTTTGAATGTTCACCATATTAATATTAATGTTTCTGATTAGAGATGTGTACCCACATGATTTGAGATCGTTTAAATTAAAGAATAGACATTTTTTTTAAATTACACTTTTGAAATTAAAGGTGCTGAGACACTTAGCCTTGAATAATTTTGATATGAGGAATTCTGCTGTAACTGTCACTGAGAGATCGGGCAGTTCATTTATGTAAGTGTCATTGAACATACTAAGACTTACCTTTTTTGTGAAATAAATCAGAATGTAATACAATTAAAATGTAAACATACTAAGAAAAAAACAAAGAAAAAGCAGAAGCATAGAATTGCAGTAAAGGCTTGACCACTGAGCATAATGCAATTAGCCATTGCTAAAGATAGGTGAAAGGTGAATTTTCAAGCATTTAAGAATTAGGATTTGATAATTCTTTACCGCTACATATGCCATCAATGTTCATTATAGGCTTCATTATAACAACAAAATACTTTAAATTAATTATTGAATTACCTTAACTTAAGTGGGAAGGATTTTGTTAATTTAAATAATATCTGTTTAATGAGGGCTGGGCTTTAAATTAACTTTAGAATAGATATTGAATTACCGTATTAAAATGGCTAGGATTTTTTACCTAAGTTATATCTGTTTAATGAGAATTGGGCTAACTGAGTCCTGAGAGGTCGAGATAAAGGGAGTGTGAGAGTTTTTAACTGAAATAAGTCGTGGATTCACTGAGCATTAATGACCTACAGAAAGTACAGAAAAGAGTAGAATAATGATCATTGGAATGAATGATTTCATGAATTCTACACGCATAAAAAATAATTAAAAATTACTGAAAGATGTATTAGTATTTATCTATAATAATTAGGATAAAGTTCTTTTTTAAAACCCTACTTAAGATCTGCCATATTTTGCATACATTCTGGATGTTTTTTTCTTCATAAATCAGTTAAACTTACTCGCGACGACTTTATGAATATGGCTGGTCATATAGCATTATTGCGTCATGACTTCATTGACATTTTAACAGCAAAACTATATGTTATAATAAGTAAATTATTTACTATAGGTAATAAGATCGTTTGTCAAATTATCTCATTGCTTAGGAGGAGGGCGACATTGCCATATGATATCATGTTACACACATGTGCCTAGAGAACTGTCTCTACCACAACGTACAAACCTACAAACGTGTATTCCAATATAGAATATTATTATAAGGTAGTATCAACCTGACCTCATTGAATTGTAGAGCATCTGGAAATTGGACGGTCTTCACATTTCCGATGAGGAATATACATTTTTCTTTCTATAACAGGACAAAGGTTAGCAATTTGGCCACGTATTATTCAAGTATTTAAGTATTTTATTCATCAACTTGGCAGTTAAACCTGAATTACATTTTAAAAATGGCCACCTAAAATCGAAGAATCGAAGTGACAATGGACCCTTATAATTTAATGCGTTTATTTTCAACAGTAGGTATAAGGTCCGCACCTAGAGAAAATGAAATACCATCAGGTGAACAACTAACAATTGAAAGGGAGCGGCATTTTTTCGTGCTTTAACTTTAATCCCATAGACTCAATTAGACATACAATTTTTTCAATTAATCTTTGATGAGTTGCCTTATTTCTGGTAACAAGACAAACATCGTCGGATAATAGGATGAACCATAATACAAATATAATTGGTGATAAGTGTAGGCGAGAAATAAAAATAAAATGTTGACCATTTTCCCAACAATCATACTTACTTTCATTGACTCTTATTTTGAGCATTACCATTAGAACATTGTTTAAATCCACACTAGCCTATATCTTACACTTTTACACTGATTGCACTGTAGGCCCTACCAGAAAGGTACATTCCTATTACATTATGGTCTTCCATTTCTATAGCGCATGATACAGTGCATGACAAACGTTACGTAACCACTACTAATTCAGAGTCGCTCAGCTCAATCGTACACCTGTCTATCTTGGCATTGACACTGTGTGTTTTAGTTTGTTTTGAAGTAATAACTTATTAGACATTCACATGAACAACAAAACGAATGAACATATATTTGGATTAACTACGGTATTGTTACAATTGTGGATACAGTGGCGTATCCAAGATTTTAAAAATGTTGGAGGGGGGGATGATGAACTGACAATCCACACTACGTCAGCGCCACGTCGAGGCTGAGGTGAGAAAATGTTAAGAATTGGGGAGTTTTAGATGTCAGAAAATGGCATTTAATACATAAAAACAAAGACAATTATTGTAGCCACCTGAGCACCATCATGGTGGGAAAATGTTAAAGAATAGGGGACTTTTAGATATTCCGGGAAGACACTTTAATACTTAAAAATTATGTCGATTATTTTTTAACATTTAGATATTGGCACTTTATATTTCATTCAGTAATCTTGTGTAACAACCATCAAGCCCTCTCTCTCTCAAGAATATGTTCGTTTATCCTTTTATAGAAATTTTGTAATATTAGCAATATTTGTTTTAAAACCCTGGTCACCTGACTTTTAGAGGATTCCCCAATGCAGTGGTGGATTTAAGTGGAACCCAGTTGGCTCGGGCCCTGGTAGATATTTCAAAATTATTTTTAAAGAATAGAGAAAAATGTGAAAATTATATTCAAATCCTGAGAGTGCCATAGTTCAGGCCATCTAAAGGCGACACAATCTTAATTTTTATTACATCACCCCCAACCACGGTGTAGCTGAGGTGTCTATCTGTGAAAGTCCTTTTCAGTTCACCCTCTATTTCGAATTTCTGGATCCACAACTACAATGACCACTCCATTTGGAAAAACCTGGACCTGCGCATGTAGTGGGTCACCCTGCAGATGCCTTTGCTAAATTTAAGTTCTCTGGATGACCATAATTTGGCGACATTTCTTCAGGATATATTGTTATAAAGATTAAGAATATAATTTTGGACGTTTGGATGGATTTTACATTTTAATAAAGATATAATCAAGTCACTTGAAACCGATCAAAAGGCTTTTCCAGATCTAACCATTTGAAGTGTACAGTTGTATGTTTATTTTTTGCATGTCTAATTACTGTATTTCATAAATTACAATATCGTGTTCAATTACACTATTTATACCCTTAATAATGCTTTTTGAAGAGATCAGAGTTGATAATGTTGTTCCTTGTCAAGTAGTCTTCAAGGTTTCTGGCAAGAATTTGATGGAATAATATTCCAATTGAAGATGATAGCGCAATAATAATAAAATTGGCAGGATCGTTTGTTTCTCCGTATTTATAGATTGGAGTAACATTGCAGGTAGTCCTTGAAAACGGAGGGATACAGGACTCTTAAAAAGCTTGGCTAGAAAATGAAGGCAACATCGACATCATTTGAATTTTAACTATGTTGTATGTACAGGGGATGCAGACACATTCGTAATATGGCGCATTGTTGGTGACGCAAATCCTGGACCTTTTGATGTCAAATAAATAAATAATGAAATGAAAATGAAATTTCAGAATTCTGTACCGTACGTAATGAAGTCTGGACCCGGTGAAGAGTTGAATTTCTTGCTCATAAGTGTCTTCTTTTAACCTTTCGGCTTAAGAAAGTATATTTTTTCGAGGGGAGCAATCGAAGTTTGAATTTCTCGTAACCAATTCAGGCGCTCGAAGGCAATAAGAACATGGTTGAAGTATATATTACTGTAGTATGCGTAGGCTAATTCTATATCAAAAGTTGGAAGAATTTGACGCCTTTTTACTAAAATTCCAGAAATTTTTGTGATACAGCTTCTCTTCATATTTGGTATTACTAACATTGTTGTTGTTACCTTTTCAATTTTTACAGTAGTTTTGAGCCTTTGGTGCTTAAAAGGGGTACCTTTATCAGCATCGCTAGCAGTTCTTTGGAAACTTGTTTGCGAAGCTTGTTCTTAAGTTTCCTCGCATTTGTTAGTGTTTTGGGCTCGGTCAAAAATATGGAGTATTTTGTTGATGCTCATTTTCAATAAATTCTGGACAATCTAGAATTTGTTGATGCTCATTATCAATTAATTCTGGATTCTCCAAAAGGTATTCTTTTCAAATAATTGAAAAACAATCTCTGGCTTCACGAGGTTAAATAAATTCAACCGCTAGCCTTATGGTGAAGCGGCTGAATCCGCCACTGGCTAAAGAGAACCACAAAGTGGACGATGACGTGTAGGCAGCATGCCTCATAGAAAAATGGAAAAGGCACAGTGCGAAACCGGATTCGAGAGCGCGATTCAATAAGCAAAATGCTAAGAATTTGAATGGAACAGTGATATAGTAATGAGTTGTTTGTTAAGTGAAGAATTTCCCTAAGCAATGTAGGGCTTCTTTAATTTTAAGATGGTAATTATTGTGTGGGGAATCAAGAATGGTGAAACGTCTGAATTAGATGTGTTTTTGCATATAACTGAGTTTAGATGGTGTTGAAAATGTGTTTCATGTTTTCTTCACTCGTTTAAATAAAGGCGAGACGGTGTACCATACTGATATGCAAGGTGCGATAAGTCAGCTTTTAATATTCCAGCCAGTTTCGGGATCATTAATATGTTTGCCAATGGACATATGCCGGTGGATTATTTCAAATGATGTAAATACCATATCAGCTTTATTAGTCCAGGTTGGGGCAATGCTATAATGATGTTATTCCAAACTATAAGATAAGGATAATTACTGTATAGGATAATGCATTATGTTTCAATCAATAGAGAGGTTTCTACCAGATAACATTTTTTTAAAATTATTTCTTCTCATTGGTTACTTTGGTAACCGTTGTTTGCTAGCCGTCATGAGCTAGATTACAACTGGAACTTTGGTTTTTCGACGTTAGAACTAGAACTACTTGTTAAAAAGTCTTTACCTGATTGTTTATGTTGTACCAGGATCACAATAATGTCTATGTAAGGCATCATCTAGCAACGCATATCACAAAACAATGCAATAGAATTGAATCAAAAATTAGTTTATATTTGCTAGAGACATAACATTTGCAAGATTTATTTTCACATACAATTCTATACCATTAACTTTAGCATTCGAAATATTGAAATTTATCTACATCATTATCGATATGAGTATCCAATCAATAAGAAAGAATTATGTCGTTTTAACATCCGAACTTCTGTAATGTTAACAAGGTATCGCCCGACATCCTACATAAAATAGCTGGCGTTTTGGAACATGTTGGACCAATTCTTTAGAATTTGTACATCTTCAATTGATATTCAATGGCATTTTTTAACTTTTTTTATTTTTAAACTAGGCCTAACTAATTATATATTTTATAAATTTATACGTTACAAAGGTAACATGTAATATCGAAACAACGAGACCAGCTCTGGTTAGTTAGATTTGCATCTGTAGGCTTCCTTACTCCGATTACTGAAATTTGTTGCTGTATCGAACTATGTTCATCAAAACAATCAGTTAACGTACTTATTTAATACATGTATTAAAATACTATTTCAATCCACAGAGGGTTGTGTAGCATGTGTATGTCGATGAAATGTTCTTCAACATACTAAAAAAATTGTTATGCAAAATGATTGTATACTCAAAGCTTCATTATGTTTGTAAGATGGACCGCCTTGAAAATAACGACTTACAACAAACTGACTCTGATAACGACACACTACAAGTCCACAAAGACATACCAGACAAAAGTATACATACGCCAACGTAGTTCTTTACAAAAAACTAAGTTGTTAAAAAATACAACTAAAATGAAAACGAAATATGTTAGACTAAATAAGACAGTGTAGCAAAAAGATATAAATAGTCATATTACTATATTTGATTTTGATTTATTATAGGCCTAATTTACCAACGACTGGAAGCGCTGATTACATTATAACTAAGACAGAATAAGTTTAGTGGACACTTTATGGTCTAAATGTAAATAGATAGTAGGCCTATTTAAAAATTTCACTCATTTTGCCTCGATATTTCAAATTAGCGAACACAGTTAGTATGAATGCTAATGATGATAAATAGGTCAATCATTTAGACGAAATCGTATTACAAATGGAAGCAGTAATACCCGTCGGTAGTCCTAATTTTTGCAATACCTTTTAAGCAACTGCAATTGACTTGGCATAATATATTCCGATATCATTGATATGTATTGTCTAATATATTTTTCTAATGTTTATTTTTCTTTATGTAGTGCCTATACAGTGACAAATTGCAACTTATTGTTAGTTTTATTTTTTATATATTATGTTAACACCAGGTTAAAATAAAGTCAGGGTCATCCTTACTATTCAATGCTTTGGAAAATGCCAGTTACATTATAACTAAACACATCTTAAAATATCTATCGATCAATGACTTTATCATTTAATGGCTTCTTTAAATAAATGATATACCGCCTGTTATGAGCTAAACAACTTTAAAATAATGTAAAATGACCAGAAATAACTTGACCCAACTTTGTATTGTTTTTAGCAATTCATTTTCATATTAAATTATAAGTTTTCCTTTTTGGTATTTTAGACTTTAACTTCCACCAATTAACAGGAGTTCGTATTCTCTGCATTGACCTGTAAATTAAATGGTAATCGATTTAAGGATATTGTGTTTGATACGTATCACTAGAAGTTAATTACTTCTACAAAAAGTGATTTTTTTTTAATACGGTATTTCATGGCAATATGATTCCTAAAGTTTGAAAAAAAGAATATTTCTAATAAATTTGGTAAAACCCTCAGTTAAGAAAGTTTTATGTCGGAATCTTATAATACTTAACTATTAACATTATTAGAAAAAGTTTTATAAAAGCGATATACGAATACAATAGTTAAACTTTATCATTTGTACACTTGGACTTGGCAACAATGCATGGCATTGCATTTACAAACGAGACTATGCATCTTGTCCACAGAAACCCGTTTATACATAGGATTGCTAAATATAATTCAAAACTTATTTTTAATATCATGTATTAAGCTATGCAAATAAACTGTAGTAAAATCTAAATCATGACTCTCTGATATAACGCCAGTCAGTCTTTTTGTAAGCCACTTTTGGCTTCAGTCATGTTTTACCTGTAAGTGGCTATCTATCACACACTATAATTCCCTTCCATGTACAACGTTCCTTGCCTGAGAATATTTTTACGCTAATGTGTATAAGTATCGTTTTGATGATGTTGACGATTTCTGCATTTTTGAATTAAATGTTAAAGCTATCAAGTAAAAGTTAAAATTCATTCAAAAAGAATATTATATACAGCTTTCTACAAATAGAACAAATGTGTTACAAAGTTTTTTTCAGCTTACTTTCATAAAGATAGTATGAAACAAACTCCAAAGAAGGTTATGCAAAACATTGTGATTCTATGTTTGGAACTTTAAATTGTTATTCTTAAGGAATAAAATGTATGTACACAATTACCTATATACAGTAGAATGGTACCAGTTATGTGACGAATAACCAATCATAATGCAGAAAGTTTAAACGATCATAATAAATCGTTTAAAGTAAAGATCAAAGACGGTATGTCAATACTTTAAACAATAATAATTACTTTTATTAATAGATGAAAAATGCCTACACGAACACTGACAGTTCTTTAAATGCTTTTAAATTATCGTTTATAACCAAAAACAGTCAATGGAGCTATCAGCCATTCTAGTATTGTTGTAAATAAGATCTAAATTTATAATCTATGAAGAATTATCAGTCAATTTTATTAGAGTTTGTTTCACACTGTCAGACTTATAGGTAAGCTACATGATTTACTTTCACAAGTCATGTCAAAACAACATGTAGGCCTACGATTTGCTATATGTAGATGGAGGGCAGCAACACAGCATGGGACTGCTTCAAAGAGCCTTAATTGAGGTATAAATAGGTTAGTTACCTCTGATACACTGAAATCAAACCAAAGAAAACTGATTCAGGAAAGAGTGTGACAAAACATTATTAATTTACAGAATTCTTTCATAAGCTAGCCTGCCAGGGCTTAGTAAAGTCCTGTTTAATGCCGTTTTAAAATGTGATGCAAAGATTGATCACATAATTATTCTTTCTAAGCCAGACTTCAAAATGCTTATAGAGTATGCTTATATTAACAAAATGTTGATTATTTTATAAAACCTGACACATAACATCCCACAGTTTATTAAAATATGAAATGGTGGTGATATAATAACAAGGAAATCCTTAACAAGGTGTAGAGTAGGTGTACAGGCAAGTGAAACTTCCTCCACTTGCAAACAAATGTTATACTCTTGCTAAAAGAGTCTGATGCTTGGAAATAAGACCCAACCAAATTTTGCCAGGAATTCCCTAACACTGGTAGAGATTACCTTTTGAAGAATTTACCCACTCCAGTCGAGAAATCACTAACTATTGCCGAGACGGTGTGTTTTTTTTGTAGGAGGTACTGTTAAAGACAATGTAGGCCTATGATGAAATACGCTTAGTTACTTCTAAACTTCTGATGTGCTTGTGCGTTTTGGTCATCGCCGTTAATTTTCTTACGTTATTTGGTAGATTTCAGTGTGTCTGAGATTACTTATAAATGGTAATGTTCATCTCGGTTGAAGCTGTGTATAAAATTCTCCAACAACCGTTCCTACTTTTTGATAGATGAGAAACTATGACCTTTCAGAAACCAGAGAAAAGTATACACACTTGTAGAAATTTAGTAAACTAAATAAGAAACCAGAATGTAAAGACCGCTTACTTTGTGTATAGTGTATGTAATTCGATTCTTCGAATATACACTATAATATTAAAAATATAATTTGTTCATTTTCACATCGGTGTATCTTCTTAACATCATAAAATGACTCAACCGTTGTAAGTGAAATGTATTAGATCTACTAATTTATCTTCCTATAATTTTTTTTCTGATAATCAATTTTTAATTTTAAAAATGGTTTTACTTTGATGTTGCGTGAAAGATAACAAGCTTACAGTATTCATTTTTCGAAAGACCATTTGCGTGACAATATAAGCTATGGCTTTTAAACTCTTGAAGTATGGTTCATCTTCTTAGAATTTCTTGTATTCTTAGCTCGAACGCTATTATGGTTTATATTATTGACGCTATGTCTCCTACGTTTTGATGATTGCCTATTTGTTGAATATATATTAAGTGCCTCGTATTCATCGTCTATAAATCTGATGGGTTCAAATCTCTCCCATTCCTCCGGTATTTGAAAACCTCCAATATTTGCTGGCATTGACGGAGACTTTGGTTTAACTTTTTTCCTATGAATAGGTACAGGTGTTAGCATTTCACCAAACTCACCGTCAGCCCACAGAGGGGTTTTCGAGTCTTTAAGGTCTTTGGAAACGATCGCACACGCATCAGAAACACCCGATTGAACCGATTGTAGACTGTCAGGTCTACTTAACGGTTTAATTGCATCTTTCATTGCATGATAAAATCCTGTGCCGATACCACGATCACCGGATCCAGATCCTTCGCGTATTTGAGTCTCCATATCTTTCATTCGGGAATCCATTTCTGTTAAAGCTTCAAACATTTCGTATTTGAAGCTTGAAATGTCTTCTTTCAATTGATTTATCCATTGGTCCTGGTTGCCTTCGTCATCATCACGCTTAGCGTCGAAGATGTAGCGTGACACAAGTTTTCCAATAATCTCCTGTGTGTTTAAAAGTACAAGTTTGGCGACATTTAATACTTGAAATAATTCTTTTAATGTAAATGAGCTGTTGATATTTTATATACAGGTCATTGTATTCCATCTATAAATAAATTTACAAAATAAATATACAAAAATATGTACCTATATAGCTATAGTCTTTCCTGTAATAATTGCCTTTTTATCATCGATAGAATTTTCAAACTGAAATATACTGTCATAATTATATTAACTCCTGATAATTTCAGTCTTCGTCATAATAATAAAAATGTCATTTAATGGAAAAAACATTTATACAATAAGGCATGGATCTGTAGTAAATTTCAATATCAAAATGCAATCATACCTGATAAACTCGTTGCTTTTCTTCAAGGAATACCTTATTCCGTTCCTATTGAAATTTAAAATCATGATTTACATAGGTATAAGTAAATGATAAATAAAATATTAGGTAACAATAAAGAACTTGAGATTGTATTGGAAGACGTACGGTATGACAACACAGGGCCGGCGGAACGTTTTTCAAAGTGGGGGGGGGGGGC